TCCTCTGTCTTGCTGTAAGAATTTACTTTCATTGTTAAAAAACAAACAAACTCGCAGCTGTCTAAGTACACAACAAATTCAGATGATGATGATAACATTCTTAACGCATGCACTGACGAAGCAAAAGTAACGTTATCAGAGTTTATCTGCTGTCACGTCTGTGGCACAGTCCAAAGGGGTTTATATAGGTTTGTGATATAAAGCCATCCGTTTTTGGGGATCTCTGTCTTACTGTATGTTATCTGGTGTGTTATAGATTGACTGGGAGGCCTCCCCGGAGCAAAAACATCAGTGCCGGCTCAAGGGAAAAGACAATAAGGTAGGCATTTACAGCACTTGTTCTTCCACCCTCAGCCCTTTATTGTTTTGTTTTTTTTTGGATATGGGTCTATTTTATGTGTTGATATTAGCTCGCTCTTTGCAATATGCTTTTTTTTCCATCTTCTTCTTTCAGACAGAGTGTTTTAATCACATCCGCCTTCTCCAGAGGTTCAACTCAACTCATCTCTACACGTGTGGTACTAATGCCTACAGACCCCTCTGTGCATACATAGTATGTACATATATGCATTTTTTTTTTACAGCAGTGAAAATACAGCATATTTAGAAATTGCATTTGCTGCTTTATAGCCGTGACCTTTACTAAAAAAGAAAGCGTGTGCTTTCTGTTATTTTCCAGTGTTTTGTTTGTAAGTTTTCTGTGATTAAAAGATACCTTTGTGCATGGAGTTTCCATATTCAAATCTTTGCTCCTATACAGGACGTGGAGAGATTTGTGATTTCATCTCAGCCTGAAGAAGGCAGAGACAAATGCCCCTACGGCCCCACAACAGGTTACACTGCCCTCATTATAGGTAAGGCAGTTAAAATAAACCAGTCTCTTCTTGAGTTCCAATAAACAGCTGTATAAGCTGGTAAACTGTTGTTGTTTTTTTGCTTCCAGACCAGCAGATATACACAGCTTCCCAGTATGAGTTTAGGAGCTTTCCAGATATCCGCCGAAACTCTCCGTCTCCCACGCTGAAGACAGAAGATGCTCCCACACGCTGGCTGAATGGTGAGTTCATTGCAGGATAAAAGCTCCTTTAGCGCGTTTGGGTAGCAGGATGGTGCAAGTGGACAGGGGTCTGAGCAAACAGCCAGCTAACGTCATGTTAAACCTCCACGTGACCTTCTCTGCTGGAATATCCTTGGTGACTCACATACTCCTTTCTGCTTCAGTGGATTGGTTATGTAATGGTTAACGTTACGACTGCTACTGATTGAGGTTTGTAGTCCAAGTTTGTAAATCGAACACTTTGGTTCGGGCTCAAATATCTCAGCAATCATCATGAAGTTAGCCTTCATGTCCCTGTCAGGATTAATCATTATGATAATTTATTAAAATTCTTATTAAAATACTTTGTGACAGATGCTCAACATTGCAGTGGTCTTGGACAAGATACCGTACTCCAGTTTATCCCTGATTTGTCTATCAG